GGGAACATGTGGGTCGCTGTTGCTATAGACCATGTGACCAGGTTTGCCATCACCAGAGCGCTCCGCACCAGCCCTGCTACTGACATTGGCGACTTTTTGCTCCACGATGTAATTCTACATCATGGCGCTCCTCGGCGATTGCTTACCAATCGTGGAAGCGCGTTTTCGGCACGCGTGCTCGACGACCTTTTGCGCTCTTCCTCAACGCAACACAAACTGACCACTTCCTACCATCCTCAAACAAATGGCCTTACCTAAATCGCACCCTCACAGACATGCTCTCGATGTATGTCTCATCTGACAACCATGATCGGGATCTAGCGCTACCTCACGTGACGTTCACCTATAATTCATCTCGTCATATTACAGAAGGTTATTCACCTTTTTATATGCTCTATGGTGGTTATCCGACCTTACCACTGGACACCCTACTACCGACTACTACACCTCCGCCGAGCGAATACGCACGTGATGCTATCGCTCGTGCCAACCACGCACGTCAGATTGCCCACTCTATGCTGTTGGCTTCCCAAGCAACCGAGAAGGCTCTCTACGACAGCAATCATGTCGACGTTGACTTCCCATTTGGTTCTCTAGTTCTTCTCTGGTACCCAGTTCGTCATGTTGAATTGTCAGAGAAGTTGCTATTTCCGTACAAGGGACCTTACCGTGTCATATGACGGGTAACGCACGTTACCTGTGAGGTCGTTCCAGTCTCCGGGACTAACCTGTTTGCAAACACTCCCAGTGACGTATTCCACGTCAGTAGGTTGAAACCATACCGCCCTCTTTCTGAAGAACACGTATAAAGTGCACCGTGTTGGTGCTTTTACAACCGGGGGCTAATGCTGCATAGCTTTCGCATGAAGGGTGAACCATTCTGTTATCAGAAGACGACGAAGAGGACTGGTTCACTCGCTCTCTCCGCTGCGCTGCAATTTTATTGGTGTAGACTGCCAAGTAGTCCAGTCCCGTCTCATTTTACGCAACACTATAATAATTGCAGCATGCAATCAAAAGATAATTTAGTATACTATGACACGTTGCAAATAGGTACTAAAAGGGAATAAACGTGTCACGATGTCACAACAATGAAAAAAAAATGCTCGGAATGCGATTCTCGGAAGAGGAAAATACGACGTATGCCTGACTTTACCGAAAGTCAGAGATTGTGTGAAACGCCGTGCATGTATGGCACAATGGCCACTTTCTTAGTTGTAACCCCACAGCTGCTGCCTAATAATGAGTTCTTGACGTTTCTGCGAAGGCCCTCTGCGACCAAGTGGGCCACGCATAATGGGAAAAACCTGTGTGTCTGGAAAGACCTGCGTGCCTGGAGCCCATACTACTATTACGGATTGAGGCCTAAAGCACCGCCTAAGAAGCGGCTTGAAGGAGATAATCAGCAAATGCGGTTATGGAAAGATGGATGTATCGAGAACAGGCTGAGCTCGAGTCTATCAATAGAGTGTGAGTCGTGGGGTGAGAAAAGGCTAAAGGGATTGGAAATTTCTCTGCTAGAATCGCACAAATAAAACTCGATGCTAGGGTAGTTGGTAGGTAGTTTTAATGCTAACTCTTGCGAATGCCATCTAACTCGAAAAATGCGTGCATAAGAAAATATAGCCACGCCAGAGAGAGCAAATTTCTAGCGGAGTCTTATCTTCTACTATCGCAATGAAAGTAAAAAACACACATCTGTACGAGAGCCGCCTGCTGATGGCTGGCGAGCTAGCAAGCGTCATACCGATCGCGACCACGCCCTTAAAATCAAAGGTCAGAGTTAATTGCTGCTCGAGTGACGCCCCTTCCTTCCTGTTTTTAGGCTGGCTCAAGACGGGCGTAGCGTTTTCTCTCCGTTTCGACGGGAGGCCTCCCGAGCGGGCTGATGTTATCGCATGTGCCTTTATATCAATGAAGATAAGCCACGTCGTGTGGTCCGCGTTTCGTGGTTCATCGCGCCTGCTCACAGACTTTTCACCATGGTTTACGCAAACCATGCGCAGCACTAAGGATACATTATGAAACATGTTGAAGATGGTGGAAGCCCGTCGACAGTGTCTATATTTTCGTTATCACAACAATAGGACTGTTCCAGAATTTCGCTGGGTGTTTGAAAAATCCAGCATCGAACAAATGTTGCTCCACTACTGCAGTGGAACGGGACTACATCTGATGTGAACATTCTCTTCGACTACTCCTCACTTGTTCGAAAAGGCATTTCAGGCCTCTGCGCTCCAAAACGGTTCTCTGGATGCTCCAAGCCTGCCAGAATTGGTGCTTTTGCGGCTCACGGGACCACTCCCAAACTCACGCCCCATATTGTAGTAGTGCGGCCCTCACCGAAAAAGCGGCGGCAACTGTCGACTCTACCGAGAGGCGCTCGCTTATTGACGGCGAGGCGAAGCAACAAGCCACATCTATTTTATCCAATGGCCATGCGTCAGGATTTGAAGTGTCAGAAGTTCCAGAGGAATTTCTGATTTCTGGTAGGAGCTGTTGATAAAAGTTATGTAAAAAAAACATTGCGATGCGAATCGCTGCAGTGTTTTGTGCACACCTTACAATCCTCTTAATAAAATCAGAACGGTGCGCATCAGAAGCTACTCAACAGCATTTGCTCTAGCTGCCATTGCTGAATAACAACTGAATGAAGGTGTGCAACATTTATAACAGTAAGATTTAGCGTAATGATGACAATGGTAGACGTTCAGCAACTCACAGTTATGCGTATTTAGCGCACAAACGACACCAAGATGGCGCTACATCACGCGTATTTATCACAAGGGCAGCATATTTTGAATGTGAAGCATTTTCTAGCGAACTTCAGAGCCTTTAGCGTATCTATCTATCTATCTATCTATCTATCTATCTATCTATCTATCTATCTATCTATGTATCTGTCTGTCTGTCTGTCTGTCTGTCTGTCTGTCTGTCTGTCTGTCTGTCTGTCTGTCTGTCTGTCTGTCTGTCTATCTATCTATCTACCTATCTATCTATCTATCTATCTATCTATCTATCTATCTATCTATCTATCTATCTATCTATATATGCGTGCCCCGCTGCGGTGGTCGAAAGGCTAAAGTATTTGGCTGCTGACCCGGTGGTCGTGGGATCGAATCGCGGCTGCGGCGGCTGCATTTCCGATGGAGGTGGAAATGTTGTAGGCCCGTGTGTTCACATTTGGGTGCGCTGTAAGGAACCCCAGGTGGTCTGAATTTGCGGAGCCCTCCACTGCGGCTTCCTTCATAATCATATGGTGGTTGTGGGACGTTAAACCCCACATATCAATAATCAATTATCTATCCACCTATGACGTTTCTCTCCCCTGACAGTTTCGATAATAGTATCACTACCAGATTGATATGACATAACATGGCTGTATGGCGAGCATAAGTGCCTAGTCATAACTTGAAAATGATCTCATGTATGTCATGAATTTAATGACGTACATTTCATGGTCTCGCTACTCTTCCGGTGGTTTTGTTCGCAGCCCCGCCGCGGTGGTCTAGTGGCTAAGGTACTCGGCTGCTGACCCGAAGGGCATGGGTTCGAATCCCGGCTTTGGCGGCTGCATTTCCGATGGAGGCGGAAATGTTTTAGGCCCGTGTGCTCAGATTTGGGTGCACGTTAAAGAACCCCAGGTGGTCTAAATTTCCGGAGCCCTCCACTACGGCGTCTCTCATAATCATATAGTGGTTTTGGGACGTTAAACCCCACATATCAATCAATCAATGGTTTTGTTCGCATGACGTAATGAAAAATGGTAAAGAATGACATGACTGCATGGCAAACATGAGAGACATATCCTAACTTGGAAATCGTGACATGCCGGTCATGCAAGTCATAACTACACGCCACGTTCATGGTGTGCTCACGGTTGTTTCGCTAGCTTCAAACATACCTCACTCGGTGTTACGTGATGTTACTGGATGGTGAAGGTTTATGACTGCTGCAAACTTGATAATCATGAGATGCGTGTCAAGTAAAAGCATGACTACATGCCATTCTCATGATGTGCTTCCGGCCGTTTTGCAAACTTCAAATATACCAAATTTGATATTACGTGACGCCAATGAACGAAGAAGGCAAATGACACGTCCAAACATGATAATCACGACATGCGTGTTATGAAAAGCGAGACTACATGCGACGCTCACAGCGCGCTCGTGGTCGTTTCGCTTGCTTCACATATACCTGTTTTGGTGTTACGGGACGTCAATGGACGACGACGGTAAATTACACGTCGAAGCATGATCATCATGATGTGCGTGCCAAGTAAAACATGACTACATGCTATGCTCATAGCGCCCTCACGACCATTCCTGTAGCTCCACATATACAAAACTTGGTATCACGCGACGTGAATGGACAACAAAGGTAAGTGGCATGTGCAAACATGATAGTAATGACACGCGTGTCACGTAAAACATGACTACTTCCTACGATAGTAGCGCACTTGTGGTTGTCTCGCTAGCTTCACAAGTGCCTAATCTGGTGTTTTCGCTGGCTGCTCATATACCAAATTAGGTATTACGTGATGTGAATGCACGACGAAGGTAAATGACACATCCAAACATGATAATCATGACATGCGTGTCATGTAAGCACATGGCTACATGCTACACTCAAGGCGTGCTCGGGGCTGTTTTGCTAACTCAACATGTATAATAAAGTTGGTATCGCATGACGAGAATAGACAATGAAGGTAAATGACGCGTCCAAACATCTCAATCAAAACATGGAAGTCACGCAAAGTAAATTACGTTCACCTCGCAACGTTGTGCTGCTTTTAAAGTGTCCTTTCTCATTCATTAAACCTCCCTCATTCATGCGTCCCATATGATTGATTCTTTCTGTCATATTTTTTAGGCTATATATGCCATAATTTTTAGGCTATATTATGCCATATTTTTAGGCTAAATATTGTGAGCTTAGTGTTTTTTACGCAGCTTCAAGCCGCAACACCATCCCTAGTCTAACAAATGTGTGCTACTTACGCTTAGCTCCACGTATCGGTGGTCACCGAATACTTGGCTGCCAAATTCCGGTGGTGGAGATCGGTGCTTCGGTTTCATGATATCTTCACCATTTAAATATATTTGCAGCTTTACGTACGCTAGCATTGTAAGCGTCATTAAAGTACAGATGACGAGGAACGCTATTCTGGCGTCGGTCGGCAGATACAGCATGTCGGCGGCACGTCGAAGTGTAATGTATCCCGTTGGAAGTCTGAAAAATGAGACAAATAAGAGACAAAAATTGTCACTAGTTCCGTTAGTTAGGGAAGCAATCGTTTGCCTAATTCAAGAGGCTGACGTGTCGGCCTCCGAAGTGCACTACGAAATCCCAGACAATTTAGTCTTGGTCCTGTTGTTGGACAATTTAGTGTTGTTAGTGTTGGCGCGCCAGCGAACGCCGGCTGAGGTCCAAAGAACGAGTCAGAGCCGAGAGTTGGTGACATAACAAAACTATATTTATTTATTTATTTGTGAAATACTGCAGGCCAAAAAGGCCCAAGCAGGAGGGGCACAAACACAAACACAATATCAGTACATGAGTGACACAGCTTCACTAAAATACATCTGTGTAAGAGGAGAGCGAGTAGAAGAAAAACATCATAACAAAGAAAGCACGCGATCAGTATATGAGTAACACAGCTTGACTAAAATACATCTGTGTAGGAGAAGAGCGAGTAGAAGAGAAACATCAAAAAAAAAATCAAGCAATATTGGGAGGAGGGGGGGGGGTCAAGATTCACAGAATTCAACATTGGGTTCATCAAGATCGAAGGTTTGGAGGAAATCAGAAGGCAAGTTATTCCATTCTGTTACAGTTCTCGGAAAAAAGGAAAACTTAAATAAATCTGTCTGCGCAAAATACGGAGTTAAAGATCGGACATGAGAATGACGAGTTTGCCTGGTCGAAACTGGGGTAACATAATGTGATGGGTCTAGCCCAAGTTTATTGTTAATTAGTGAGTCCAAGAATTTTAGACGGAGAAGCTGGCGCCGCGATTGTAGCGTCTGGAATTCGTTATCTCGCATTAGTTCCGTAACTGATGTACCACGACCATACTTTGGGTAAATAAAACGCACTGCTCGTCTTTGAATCTTTTCGAGGGAATATATGTTAGACTTAGTATGCGGATCCCATACAATACAAGCGTATTCAAGCTTTGGACGTATTAAAGTGTTGTAAGCTAATAGTTTCACTTGCGACGGGGTGTCTCTGAGTTTGTGCCTTAAAAGACACAGTTTACGGAAAGCCGATGACGAAACATCGGCAATGTGTGCATTCCAGGACAACTTATTCGTTATCGTTATACCTAGGTATTTGTATTGACTGACTTCTTTTAAGGGTTGGCTTTTGGAGGAATAGGAAAACTGAAGGGGATTTTTCTTGTTAGTAATTCGAAGGCAAACAGATTTATCGAAATTGAGCACCATGCCCCATTTGTTACACCACGAAAGAAGATTGTTAAGGGCAGTGTCGAGAGCAACCTGGTCATCTGGTGATTGTACATCTGTGAAAATAATGCAGTCGTCTGCAAAAAGTCTTATTTTAACCGGATCAGTAATAGCATTAACAATATCATTGCAATAAATTATAAAGAGCAGCGGACCTAGAACACTACCCTGCGGTACGCCGGAATCTACTGGGAGATGAGGTGATGTCTGTCCACAGACGTCTACATACTGTTTCCGGCCGTTCAGGTAAGCAGACACCCAGGATACTAGGTAGTTTGGAAGCCCTATAGTCTGCAATTTCTCGATGAGCTTGTTATGGGGAACACGGTCGAATGCTTTACTGAAATCTAAAAACAGTACATCGACCTGACCAGCTTTGTCTAAAATAGAAGCAATGTGATGAATAACTGAGACCAACTGGGTGACTGTGGAAAACCGTTTTCTAAATCCATGCTGAAAGGGAGATAAAATGTGGTTATCATCTAAGAAGCTGTTTATACGAGTGGCAATTATATGTTCTAGCATTTTGCAACATGCGGAAGTCATAGAAATTGGACGGTAGTTTGGTATGCACTCTGGGTCCCCCTTTTTCACAAAGGCAGAACACGTGCCAATTTCCAATCGATGTGTAAAGTTGCTGAACTTATTGAGGCTCGGAAGATCACAACAATGTACTTGGCCAATATTTCGGCATATCGCCGGAGAAATGCATTGGGTATGTTGTCTGGTCCAGGGGTTGATTTAACTTTTAATCGCAGCAGTAAATTTAGGACACCATCGAAAGAAATGAGGTTAGGATCTGAATCAGAAGCGTCAATGCTAATTGAGACAGGCAGAGTAGAAGTTGAAAAAACACTATGAAAATAGTCGTTGAAATTTTTCGCGATAGTTTGGGGATTGTCAATTATAGTGCCGTTAAACTTGATTCGATTTACAGAGCTTTTACGGTCCCCAATAAAATACCAGAATTTTTTAGGGTCCTCTTTGATAAAGTTTTGTAACTTGACAGTAAAATAAAAATTCTTGGCACTTTTAATAGCTTCGGAGAGGGAGTTACGAATTTCCCTGAGAATGTTAGCGGGAGCACCTTTTTTCCGATAGCGCTTGGCTTTACGCTTCATTTGTATTATTGGCCTTGTGATCCATGGTGTGAATTTTTGGGGTTTTTTTGTTTTGTTTGGTACAAACCGTTTAATGCAGTGGAAGCATAGTTTCTTAAACTTATCCCAGAGAACAGCAGCGTCGTCGCCATCAAAATGCACCGATTCACATTCAAGATAATCTTGGATGCTCGTATCGTTAGCACGGGAAAAATTTTTGACCTGTTTAGAGTTAGGTGGGCTATTGGAGCGATTACAATGCAAGGGAAAAGAAACTGTGACCATGTCGTGATCAGATAAGCCGGGTTCAACACAAACACAGCAATCAAGAATAGTGCGATGCATGAACACAAGATCTAGTAACGTGGACGAAGCATTACCAACACGTGTTGGTTGCTGAACAATTTGGGCGAGATTGTGGGAAAGCATTATATCGAACAGTATATTTGCATTAATCAAATCTGATGTCGACTGCATTTAGTTCCAGTCAATATTAGGCAGATTGAAGTCGCCGATGACAATTAGCTTTTGATTACTGTAATTTTCCGTATGGGTTTTCAAGTTAAACAAATACTTTAAACAAATACTTAGTTAAACAAATACTTAGTTAAACAAATACTTAGTTAAACAAATATACTTGAATACGGTGAGCAACGAACAGACAAATATGCACACTCGGCAATGATGCAATACATTACGTCACCAATAAAACAACGAGCTACACAATAAAACCAGATGCATTCAGAACAACGGACAAAGGCAACACGTGCTACAATGCAATATCACGTATGAACCAACCTGGACACCTATAGACTAAAATGTACGAATTCAGTCCAAAGCTGTTGGAAAAAAACTTGAATGCTTCTCTTAAGGGAAACACTCACTCAAAGACCTGCGCTGGCTGTCTCCCCACTGAGGTTTCTCTTCCAGGAAACTCTCGCGACATGAAATGTTCGTACCTCAATAACAAAAGTTCTTCACCGGTAACACGTCGGCCACTCACATGCTGCGACTGCAGAACACGTCTTAGCGTACGGGCGGTAGACAGACCCTCTACTCCTGATAGTATAACAAGCCTTCACACGCTGGCGGAAACACACTCTCTCTTCATCTACTGCTTTGTCACTGAAGAGACAAGCACTTCGCCTATCGGCGGCAAACTTTCTTCATCTGCTGATCACTACCATCCACAGCTCACTTATATACGTTAGTCCTGAGTTCTGGAAGTTTCGTCGGCGCGCCACGCAGCCAATGCTTGGGAAGGGGCGAGTATTTTCTCAAACTCTCTGCGACAGTTGACGCAACCAGGAAGTGAGTCAGGCCTTCTTTCTCGTAGCTTGCGGCATTCGCTCAGTGATAGATTGATAAGGTTGGTCAGCGTAGCGCGGCACCTGCGAGGGGGAGAGAAGGTGCGCCCAAGGAGTTCTTTGATTTTTGCTTTTTGTCTTTTCGCCGGCTTTTGTCGCGTCAGTCTAGCACCTCTATTTCACGTAGCAGTTAGAATTCAGAGGCGCATGCTTTTTTGAGCACTCGATTGTGACAAAAGGAGACACACCAATAATAAAAAGACATGTGAGAGCGCAGAAAACATGGCACGCCTGGTCAGCAAGCGGTGAAACATTTTTCTGTCTTCCTCTTATAAGTCTGATATCTTCTCACCAAAAATAAATGTAAAAATAATAAATCTTGCGTGTCAAGAGCCAGTTACCATAAAACCCATCTCGTAATACATATGTGGCATGCTTCTTGTGCACGGAATCAATGGGAAAGGTATATGCATATATAAATATACTCTATAAACTGTAACGCAGAGCCGTCATCGCAGCATAGTGCTCAGTTACGCACCCTAAAGTCGCGGGTTCGACCCCGGCCGTGGTAATAACGTTTCAATAGAGGCAAATTGCTAGACTCATGTAATGAGATTCGGTCCATAGTGAAGAACCCCGTGTTGTTGAAATATCTGGAGCCCTCAACAGTAATGTGGTCGATAAGCATATCGTTGTTTTTGTATGTAAGTCTTGGGATATCATAATTACTGCATAAAGTAGATGGTCCAGCGTGAAATTTCACATTGAAGAGGACAACGTTTTATTAAGCGTAAAAGGGTCCGGCCCCGGAATGCTCACGTCACTGTGATTGCGCCGAGCACGTTCATAGACAGACAATATTGTGATCGAACAAACACGTCTGCTTTAATTGATACATGCGTCAAGACGCACTCAATCGAGGCTTTTTAACCATGCTCATATGGAGCCTGAAGATCAGAGCTAAAAATGTCAAATACAAGTGATTGCATATGTGCATGGTCTAAGCCGCAACCTGAACAAGATTGTTAAGTGTGAACACATACAAGTGGCATATTTCGCCCACTCGAAGGGGGTGTTAAGGCGCCAACAATCACAACGTGGAGACGCGATGTGATTTGAAGCATCGGGAGAAGTACGCTGCATGTGACCAGGGTGTAGCATACAGCATACCGCTGTCGTGCGGGTCCGTTACTACGGCAGACGAGACGGTGCATGAGTGACAGCGGAAAAAGACAAGGGAACAATGTTCAGGCCTGCGTAATCACAGGTCACCTCTCAGCCCATTGTGGGACTTGTGGGGGCCAAACACTTTGACAGCGCAGAAGTGATTGCTAGTAGGAAGGACGCGTGCGCTC